GCAGCACAATTCCAGAACGCAGCCCCATCCTAGCTGCTGTGGAAAAAGTTATCTCTATCCCAGTCAAAAACCAGCAGACAATGATATAATGAAGTGTTTCTCAACTGGTTAGTCATTACGTCTGAGAATCATAAAAGTTAAGCAACAGGGTCATGAGATGTTGACACTTCTATTACATCTTGCAGCAATGGAAATCATGCTTCACCTACACCATGTACATACCTTCACTTAAAGGTCAAGTATTTTCTGTCAGTTCTTGAAACACAGAAATAAATTATAAAATCTTATTTTTGTTATTTGTATCGCATACACTTTTTGTATTAATCTCAAGATACAATTGCAAAAATACTTTACTTTGAATCAGGACTGATGAGGTCAAAAGCTGCCAAACACTGTTCTTGTGTTGAGAGCTGTATTATAGTTGATGGCGTCTATCCTGATTTTGAGACAGCAGCGGCAGTGATAACTTGATTGGCCTAAGCAGTAGGAATTATATCTATAATGCATGTCTATATTAACAGACTCTGATCAGAGCCTTCAAAATACTCCTCTAGGTTGTTACAAACTGCTCCTTATTAGGATTTGAGTTATATTTCTGTCCATTGTGGCACAGATGTAGGAATACATCTGGTATAAACTGGTATCCCTCATGTTACAAAAATTGTGAGGATTTTGATGCTGTCTCAAACCAAAGGCTTCCCAAAATGAGAGACTGGGCTTCATCATTCTCCATCAGTAACCAGTTGCAGATATATACGGAAGATTGTAAGAATGGGGTTATAATCTATCTAATACACGTTATAGGGATGTTGAAGCGTGTGCTCCCATCTTCTCTTAGCTATCGGTTCAGCCATTTCTTGTGGAGCATTGCACTAGTAGATGAGGATGCATGGCTTCTCCCTGAAAGGACATAGCTCTTACTGTTTTCAAACATACAATTTTATTGGTATTGTCTGCATGATGTTGGACAGCACGTACTAATTACTCAAATTAACTGTATAACACTTTTCAACCCATATTCTACAGGCACCCTTGTATTTGGCTTACCTGTGGTCTGCACATGCTTTGAAATGCATAGGAAAAAGGCACCTAGTATCTTTGATATCTGTGATTGTGTTTCACAATAGGAAAACTATAAAAAAATTACCTTCAGTATCTTCCCTGGTGTTACCTATATGAATGACACAACAAGAATAAGGCAGCATAGTCCTTTCCTTCAAGTGGCGTGCAGTAGGAGGGTGCACCACCGGCACATGTCTGTGGCACTGTTAAGTTTGATGCATTTGCTACATCTTTGTGTTTCTTTTTCTCTTTCTTCAGTTACATTTAAGCTGTTTTCAAGACCCCAGCAGGATTTGTGAGAACAAAAGGGAATAAAAAAAAATAAAATCAAAAAAAAAAGGGATAAACCAGCAAAGACGAAAAACGTTCCAGAAGCAGGATGGGGTGATAAAAAGACAACTTAGTATAGCACAGTGAAGGGGTAACCGTAGACCACGGAGGAAGTCGGTGCGATGGGGAACAAGGCCAGAAGTGGCAGGTGAAGGTGAACAGGGGCCGAGCACAACACGCTGGAAGACAGAGCTAGACTGACAATGACACGTGTTGGACATGAGCTGAACAGGGTGGTTCATGATGATGAGGTGAAGTTGGAAAAATTAAGTGAAACAAGGACTTCTAACTTTTTTTTTCCCCCCTCACCCGTATTTGCAGTCACCTTTTACAGACTGCCTGATGCGGCTACCCAGTTTCACTACATATTTGAAAGTAAACTACGGGGTTTTTGTTTAGTCTGTAATATCATCATTATTCAACCTATTAGTTGAAGTCGTTTAATTTCATTCTTCTCTGTTTTGACAGCTGAATCTTATCTTCCTGGTGATCACATTGTGCAAAATGGTGAAGCACTCAAACACTTTGAAACCAGACTCTAGCAGGTTGGAAAACATTAAGTAAGTGCTTTGTGTTCAAGTATGAGAACTATGATTATTTTCTGATTGCTGAACTGATTGAAAGCTACTCTCCATTAGGAGCACATGCCATTGTCTCCCAGCAACTGCAGATGTCAATTAGAAGCAAACAGAGCCAATCCTGCTTTCGTCACATTGTTGCTGTAATGTCACAAACGCCGGTCAAAATTAGATAATTTCAGCCTGGAACTAGTGCCAAGAAACTGTTTCACGGAAATGCCACAGCACTGTAGTAATTTCATTTGTATTTCAAATGCAGTTCAAAAATGATGTTCCTGTTTGCATGGCTGATATGATTATATTAAGTTTGTTTTGTTAAATGACTTTTTGATTTAGGGATTCTGAGCAGTTTCTACTCGTAATCCTGTTCTCCCAAGAGAATTGACTCTATTATTATTGTTAACTTGAAGATTATCTGCTGTTTTCATGCTAATTTAACAAATGTTTACTTTATCATGGTGCTGTACTGCAGTATCCCTTTTCCAGAGTAAGATAAGTGTCGTATAATTAACAAGGCTTTGGCAGCTCTTGCTTCTTTAGATAGTCCTTTACTGTATTCTGTATAGCTTTTCCTTGTATTGAAGGTTTTTGTTATCAACACTGAAGGGATGGTGCAACTTTCTAACGCTGAGGGTTGGATGTGAAAGGGTCTTACAGATTTGCTTTGAATGTTGAAAATGGTGAAGGGAGATTTTCAGTAAGGCTAACGTTGTGAACTAGATATTCTAGATAGGTCAGTATCAGCTTCATTGCATGGTGCATGATGAGAGAGAGAGCTAATCTTTAGCATCTCTCTCTTTTCTTCCTTTTCCTCTTTCTGTCTTCTCATCCACACCAGTAATTACCGTGTTTGTGATGGCTACTATAATACGGACTTACCTGGGTAAGATAGAACCCTACATTAACAAATTTCTAGCATGATTTTTAACTTTACAAACTCGGTCAATATTGTGGATTTCCCTTAATTTTAATTAACTAGTTTTGAGATACCTAATTTGCTAAAGAATTTTAAACTATTATATGCCTTTATAATTTTAAATTGCTTGCCTCTGCATTTTGAATTTCCTAATTTTGACTAATTTTTGTAGACAATTAAAAATGTTCTTATTAATTTCTGTTTCAATTCTGTCTAATAATTTTGTTTCTCTTTTCTGCTTATAATGCTTTCTAGCTATGAAGATAATAAGCCATTTATCAAGTAAGATCATTAGTTAGATGTGGAATTCACTGACTAAATTCCCTTTCCCTTTCATTCTGTGCCGTTCTCTACAATTCCTTTTCCTTAACCTATTCATGATGGAATCTTTTTTAGACTATTCTGTAGAGCAATATCCATATTTTTGTCACATTTCAGCAGGGTTTCTTCATGCGGAAGTTAGATGATCTAGCTTCAGTTTAGCTGAGTTTATCGGAGCATTAAAGATTTGGGCTCTAGGCTTTTAATCTGCTGTTTAACCTTTGTGCATTTGTGTTACATTATTTGGTGTCATATGGCAGCACCACTGTTTAAAATCTATGGTGTGATTAGTGGCTAAGCCAGGTTTATCAATCTCTTTTGTAAAAGCAGATAAAGCAATGGAATAGCTGGGGCTTGCGCTATACTTCTGCATTTCAAAATAGTTTTGACATCCAATGCAGTTCTTGAGAAAGAAAAAGATCATATCTACTCTTGCTGTTTTCACTGGAGACTAAGAGTACCAAATGGAATTGTTCTTTCTTTAAGAGATAAAAGGTTAAACCCAAGGAATTTTTACATTTGAATATGAACCTAGTAAAAGTCAACTGCAGGAACTGAAATGTTAATATTGGATTTGGCGACATGCATTCTCATAAGTAACGTTACTAAAATTAATTTTCTCTTGCAGATCCTGGGTCCTGGGTGCATTTGCTCTCCTGTGTCTCCTTGGCCTAACATGGTCATTTGGCCTGCTGTTTATCAATGAGGGGACTGTGGTGATGACGTATCTCTTCACAGTATTTAATGCTTTCCAAGGAATGTTTATTTTCATCTTTCATTGTGCCCTTCAAAAGAAAGTAAGTTACTGAAAACACAGATGCATGTTCCCTAACGCCTTAGAAATACCACATCTTATTTCTTTAAAAATAGAGAAAAAAATAGCAATGTCAAGAACTGGAGTTATTTTTGAAGTAGTTTGAGGAGAGGACTAGGATTCAAAAGCAATTCTGGCTGTGTGTGCTTGTGGGAGTCATATTACAGTTCCTCGGTGGCCTGGGTGGGTTTAAAATGGATGCAGCATTTCCAGCCTGGGCTTGAAAAGTTTTGAGGCTTTGGGAAGAAAATCGCTATAGAAAATGTACTGTTTGACATTGGTAATGTGGTACATATTAGTCTGGACTTACAGCCAAAAGTCCTTTATGTGCACATGAAACAAATCCTGCCTCCGCTGCAGCACTGCAAACAAAGGATCATTTACAATATCAGCCCATCTCAGCCTGGCAACGCTTTCTCTTTTCTCAGATCAAGGCAGAGGACCTCTCCTGAGATCCCATTAAGCTGCCACATAAAGCTACAGGTGATAGGCAGGGATTGTACCATGAGTGCTTGTCCGTTACAAAATTAAGTGAGATCTAAAAATTAATTTTGTTATGAACTTCAAGACACCTTAGAAAAAAGTAGTCATTAATGCTGGACAACTACTAATGGGGAGAGTTTTCCAAAGATGCCAGCATGGCTAATGTTTTCAAGTGTTTGCCTCCCACAGCAATCCAACAGCTTCGTGCTCTTAACTGGAAAAACTGGAATCCCGTGGCAAGAGCCTTCCTTCATGAGGGGGATGTGCTAAATTAGTTCTGCTCCCCTTCACTCGACGGGAGCCAAGGGGTCCAGAAGGAGCAGATCTGCTGGGGAGAGGGAAAGTTTGCATGGGAGAGAGGAGCAAACAGGAGAGACGGAAGCGAAGGGTGGCAGCCGGATGGGATTCTCTTTGGGTTCCCTGCACACCTCCTCTTCCCCAGACTGTGGGTGGAGACTGCTTCCAAGGATGCCTTAGTGGTGCTTTAGTGAAGGACAAAAGAAAAAAGCTCATAGCCTGTGTTAAAAGGCGTAGCAAATGAAAGTAATGAGGGTTGAGAGGAACGGTAAACATCAAAAAATCCCACCCAAAAAAGCTTAACATACAATGCAATACATCCTGCATTTGGAAATACCCAGTCTGCAATATTTAGATTCTAAATATTTTTACCAGTTTTAGGCTGGAGACCTAGCAATTATTAACTCCCTTTATAATTAGCTCACCAGAGACATAATTAACTGATATTTATAAAATGGTTTGAGACCATTGGATAAAGCGTTGCTGTGTAAGTACAAAAATCGCATTCTTGTGTGTTCTCAACTGTACCAGCTCTAACAATATCAACGTCTCTAAATTTGGTGTAGACAATGGCGTTCAGCCATGTTCTAGGAAAAGATCTGGTAGGCAGAAGGAATTTTATCCCAATGAACACTGCACTACTCTCATTTTGAGAGAACAAAAGCGCACTTAAAGAGGAGATTGAGCCTAAGAAAAGAAGAGAGGGAAGAAAATGCAAACATTCTCAAAACGCAAATAATTTCTAGATTAGGGTTTCATATAATGTTGCCTTTTCTACCACTTGTACTGGAGTTGAAAATCAAAAACAGACTCCTTTTTTATTTCTTTTTACAGCTGTGCATTGTTTTTATATTAAGTGGAGTCAGCAAAAAGCAATATTAAAATACCAGTCAAGTGTGAAAAAGCATAACCTAGAGCAATACGATTTATACCTGAAAGAATGTTAAAGCTGCCATTTAAGATTTTTAAGTTTCGTTGCCTTTGACTGGATATCATCCTGTCCTCTGTCTGCATAGCTAATGTAGTCTTTTTATTCTGTTATTACTAGTTGGTCACTAAATTGAACAGAGAAATAGAATTTTGAAAGTGAAAACTATTATGTTTCCAGTTCTGACAGGATGATAGTGCTGTTGCTTCCATCAGTTTCCAACAAGCTATAATTTAGAAATAATGACAGTGGAATGCGCAGTACTGACAGATAATGTACATTCACTCCAATATAGGCATTAGGCAAAACCAGCCCTGGAGGGTGGTATTTGGGTAAAAATACAGTTTTGATTGCTATTGTCTCTACTCTGTAGTGGTTTGGAGCATTTAATATCCATTAGTGTTCAGGAATGTATTTTCTTAGGTATTATACCATCTAGTGATGATATATATAGACTTATGCTTTTCAGACTATAGAGTTAAAGATTGTAATTCTATGTCTGTGCTTTTCTGTTTTCATTCTTTATGTGTCTTTTGTGCTGATATAGATAGGGGTTCACTTAAAATATGTACCATATACTTTCATTAAAAAGATGAGTTATTGTCCCTAGCTTGAAGTTAAGGCACTAGCTATTCAAATTTTCTTCAACCTTGTGGTTTATAGAAGCATGACAGGATGTATTCCATGAGTAAAATTCTTCTAATGCACATTATTAACTTTTTGCTTTTTCCCCTCTCCCCTTTTTACATACTCACAATTTTCTTTCTGTCCTATATATTCATAGGTCAAGCCAAATTTCCAGATTAGCTGAAATCCCCCTTTTCCCAGAAACTTAGGAGTCTCACTGATGTAGAAGTGACACTTAGATTCCCACGTACCTGGTGGGAGATTTATGAATTTAGACTTACTCATCTTGGAAAAATTCTATCCAGTGTGTCCTTTCATAACGCTTTCATGTTGCGGAGATGTGTATGCACTCTTCCCTTACCTGAAAGTAGTAGTCAGTGTAGCAGTCACTGAAATGAGAGAACTAGCTGCTCTGTAAATTAATCCTGATTACTTTCATGGCAAATGTTAACACACGTAAATTACAAAACTAAAGTTTCCAGTAGGTCACTGGAAACAGAAGGTGAATAAATGCAGGCCAAAGACTGGAATCAGTATTTAGTTTTGTTGCTCTGTCAGACAAAAGTCTCACATACATAGGTGTATTCAGATTTCTACGTTCAGCAAAGATGAGTATTTTGGTTTTTGATCCTAAAAGTGAAAGATGCTTCATTTCCAGCCTTTACAGTTCAAAATTTGGCCCTGAAACACTGATGGTGCCTCTACCAGCGTAGCAGGCACTCTGCCTGGAGTGGGGCAGGGACATTCATGAGCTTTGTACAATCCCGAGCAGGTCTGACCATATCAACTTGCAGCTCTTTGAGTTACTTACTGAGTAACTTTATATGAAAATGCCTTTATAGTCATTGCCGGGTTTGCACACTGTCTTGGAAGGGATAACTTAACGGGCAGTACCAAGCAGTGCACAGGCTAGTTACCCCAGCCCTTCTCGCATGATGAAATGGGAAGGTCGGCTTTCTATGGTTTCTGCACCAAAACTTCATCTAAAAAGGACTATTTTCAGCCAGCATTCAATTCAGGTAAACTTAACTATATTAATCTACAATATGAAGACAAAATAAAAATAATCCCATAAATAACTCAGTAATGATTATTCAGGCACATCTAAATGAAGTGTGTGTATACTTTGGAAATAAGTCGGTCAAAAATCCTGGATAGCTGATAATGCTGCTGCATAAGGAAACACCTGATTTTGCTAATGGCCAACAACTCAATAGACAAGAACTATCTATTTGCTTGAAAAATGTGTGAGTAGTTTCAGTGCAGGGTTCATGTCTTATTGCCAGCAGAGATATTTGACACTATTTTTTATGCTAAGTAATTTTTTTTTCCCCCAAAGGTACGTAAGGAATATGGCAAATGCTTCCGACATTCCTACTGCTGTGGTGGACTACCAACTGAGAGTCCCCACAGTTCAGTGAAGGCATCAACAACAAGAACTAGTGCTCGCTATTCCTCTGGCACTCAGGTAACAAAGATTTTGACAGCATCTTTTAATTAACCTTATTTATAAAAAGCCTACTGAGATGTGTCCCAATCAGAAGCACTAATTGTCTTCTCAGTATTATCATTTAGGTGGCAAATACATACTTCTGCGTAGTAGAAATGATTCTTTTTAAACATTTCCTTTTATTTTGGTCTAATGCAAACACCTTCTTTTTCTTGTAATTAGGGGCTGGTTTATAGGAAGGCTTATACCACCATGTTTCATCTAAATGAAATTTAATAAATTAGAGTTTTAATAACAAAAGAAGGAGTTTCACTCCATGCTAGAAGAATGGCTTACTTTAGGCCAACATAAACACAAATATTCTACAGAATAGCACATAAGTAGGAAAAATCTCTTTGTAACTTGCTATGCTTCTGTCTCACTGCTTTCTGTTAACAGAGTCGTATAAGGAGGATGTGGAATGACACTGTGAGAAAACAATCTGAATCGTCTTTTATCTCAGGTGACATCAACAGCACTTCAACACTTAATCAAGGTCAGTCACTGGGAACATTTCAGTTTTAGAAGCCTTAAATCTTATACAGATTTTATAACATTTAACACAGAAGAATTGAAAAGAATGTTTTGGAAAAAAATTCTGGAACAAATGTTCTCTAAAAGCAGAGTTTTAAAGTCATCCACCAGCACATTTTAAAACCGTGTTCCCTCAGCTGGCCCCCTGCTATAGAAGTTGAATTCCTCCATTCGTGGGAATGTATTTAAATAAGTTCCATCAATAATTTAACTTAGAAGCAAGATCATAATTTTAAATCTTTCCTAACCTTTATAGGTTAAATCCGAAACAGAAATATGAGTGCAGTAACATTTTAATGCATATTTGACTATGATTTTTAGGTGCAGAAATTTTCCCAGTGAAATCTAATTGATATCATTTCTATGCAAAAGATGTCTGTAAAGCATTTATCTTTTCTATTTCAAAGAGCATCGTATCTGTCACATGGAATAGAATCCAGATTTTCAGGCACAGAGAAGCCAAAACTCCAAATTTCTCAGCTCAAATAGACTTTGAAATCTTTAAACCTCATTCTCATGTCCAGTTAGGAGACAAGGGTATTAGCTGAGACAGAACGTCCCTTCCTTTCTCCCCTTCCCCTTGTGTTTTTTTAAGGTAGTTTGAGCTAGCAATGGAGGGAAGACTGCTCTGTGCAAGCCAAGTTCAAAGCCTGTTCTTCCACCCATGTCCCTAGGAGAAGAACACGTAGCCCTGATCTCACTGCAACCAGTTCCTACTCAACTCCAAAAGTTTTAAAACAGAAAATTCATCACTGTCAGGGCTGCACAACTGGCAAATTTTCCTCCCTTGGGTTTTTTTCAAGATTTGGTTGTAGGGACATGTCCTTAACGCGCATTTATTTTGGAAGTAAAAAGTGTGATATTTTGCAAAAGAAAATATTGCAGAAAGCATGATTCTATTTTTGCTGTTTGGCATATAGGAAGTGGGTAAGACCTGTGTGTCTCACTGCTCCCCCCATCTGAATCCTGTATTTTGCTCTGGCAAAATCAAAATTAAGTAACTTCTACTAAGTAGAAAATGTATATTTGTCATGCCCAAGAAAGAAGTAAATTCCTTTCCAGTGTCTTGTTAAAATCCCATAAATATGCGCTAGGTAAAAGTCTGGGATTCACCCTATTTTGATGTCTCTGACTCCTGAGGTTGGCTCTAACCATGCTGCACCCTCAGTTAATTCAGATTTGAACGGAGGTCTTGGAAGCTTCTGCCTGTTTCAGAGCTCCAGTGTCAAGTCACTGAATGTGTTCTGCCATGATTAGAAAAATTGATACCATCTTTATTCAATTACAATATCGTCACCATCTCAGTGATACATACCTATAAGGGTAGTTTAGTAATTAATGGCAAGTGTCATTTTTCCTTTAAAATAAAAATCAAGCTTTTAAAGGTGGCAAAAAATTCTGGATTGAAAAAAAATTCTCTTTAACTATAAGTTACAGGTAATAATTCTAACCAAGATTAAAAATAATACACAAAAAAAAACCCCAAGCAAAATGTATTTCAGTTAGTATTTTTAGTAATAAATACATTACAACTGAAAAAACTGTGATAAAACCTTTTTAATTGTTCACTGATACAAACTTTCAAATATGGTTAGAATAATCAGGCAATAATTCTCTGAATCTTAGAATTTTCTGCTCATTTCTGCTACCAAGTATCTATGGTAGTACAAAAGCATTAAGATTTGGAATATATACTATCTTTTCCTTGCCAAATAAAAATATCCACGCTTTAAGAATGTAGCTGGCTCTTCAGTTGTCCTTGAGTCTGTAATGCACTGATCCTGAAACACTGCTGTGCAGTGCAATAGAAAAGAAAGTGGGATTTTACCTTAATTAAATGTTTAAAGTAAGTTTTAAATCACAGCATTTTGCGCGGGGTTTTTTTGTCGTTATTCCAACCCATTTTTCTTCTAGTAGCCAGATAGGAGAGATTAATTGACTTCTTAATAATTTCTCAAAATATGCTGATTTTTTTTCTAATTATTCCAAGAGCTGTTTCAATGGTGTTGCATTTACATGTAAAATGGGTTTTAAAAAAAAATCTGTTCGTGTGGTGTTTTGCTTCGTCTTACATTGTTTGTAAACTGATTGTTTAAAGAAAATTTGTCATTCGAGGAATTCGTTTTTAAAACCTGGCAGATAAATTTGCAGCATGAATGTCCCGGGAGAAAATGTGAATGCTCTGATTTCTTAGAGCAAATATTTTCCTTTCCCCTCAGCATGCATACTTTTGCATATACTAAGATATGCTTCTTGCAGTTTGTCGTCCACTGTCTGTTTGAAAACAGCAATTCCCTTCCACTATCCGTGTGTTTTTAATAAAGTGAATAACAGCTCTGATCCTGTCATGAGAGATTTTTCAATACCTTTCAATTTGAGAAATTCAGGTCTCTCAATTCCGGACAGAAGTGTTCCATACGATTATTTTTAAAGTTATAATAGCTTTATGTCGTACCTTGATCTCCACACATTTAATTGCTATTCTTGTTGTATACATTAGTAAATGTCACTCTCACCAGATGTTTACTTTGGGGATTTGGACAGCACCTGTGAATTACTGGAATCTAACTGTATTTTCCTACTCCCATTTCAAATACCTAGCTCAAATACATTCAGAAATTTTCAGCTGAATTACATTTGACAAGTCCTGCATGATTCATGATGAATTAAAAATATTCTTTATCGAAACTGTCAGCCTAAAATTAAAGAACTGACTTTTTTTTCTGTTTCTTTTGCTTTAGGAATGACTGGCAATTACCTACTAACAAACCCTCTTCTTCGACCACATGGCACTAACAACCCCTATAACACATTGCTCGCTGAAACAGTTGTATGTAATGCCCCTTCAGCTCCTGTGTTTAACTCACCAGGTGTGCTTATACTTCCTGAATAAAACCGCTTTTCTTGGCTCGCTCCAAATCCCTTCTTTTCCCTAGATAGAAACTCGAGTTGCAATACCCTAGCCGTACATTCTGAATTTCTGTCAGTTCGAGAAATACAGTATTGCCAATGTCAGCTTGTAAAACTGCACTATATTATAGTAATGCCTTTGCCATAACAGTATTTACCAATAATTATCCATGTTTTTAACACAGGTGGCATAAATCTTAATATACTATTACAGGACTGACACCACATGGTCCGAGAGCCCATCTTCAAGATATATATCACTTAGAGGTATCATGTCTATGCAATATAAGGTTGACTCTAAAGCTTGCTGAGAAAAACCTGCTTATGGAACGGATTAGATTCTAAAGGAGCGCAAGGCATCTTGACACCTTTGGATACCCCAGTGCAGAAAATTGTATCCAGCGTCAAACAGATCTAAACTATAGTATAGTGCAGCTTTATGGTAGATCGTTTTGCTGTAGGAAAATCTTGAGATTAACAGTTAGAACAGTTTAGTGCCGTAGGAATAAAGGGTGTCATCGCTTACCTAACATTTTGTTGTTACACTATCGAGCTGCTTTTTTTAACTACAGTGCGATTCATCAGTAAATATCTAACAGTTACTGTTTGATGAGTCATAAGATCACTTTAGTATAACTGGAACGAAAAATCTTTGATAAAGAGCTCATAAAAACCTTGTTTCCAGTTTTTATTTCAAGTTTCCTTTTTAACTGAACTGCACTTTCTATTTTCATTCTCTTGTTTTCTTACTTTCCTTATGCTTTCCTCTAGCAACCTACAGAGAGACAAGTATGGGAGTAAAACTTAACTTTGCCTATCAAATGTAAATTTTTTCAGCATGATTTTTAATGGGCGCAATTAAAACATAACTAGCGGTCATGAAGTAGACTCAGCGGGCAAGTGGTTCACAATTTGCAAATGAAATGTTTCCACATTCAAAAAGTACTTGCATACTGCTTTTTGGGAAACAACATGAGGTCTGTAGCAAACCCTATTGGTAACAGAAGTTATGCAATGCTGAAATAATTTGCTGTTTAAAACCAAAGCAGTGTCAAGCAGAAATGCTTAACAATTTACTTATATTTTTACATTCCCACAGTAATCTTGCTACAGGCTATGGAAAGATTTCAAATGAATTACCTGATCATGGGCAAAAAAAATTTGCCTCATCAAACCAATTTGAATATATTCTAGCACGCTTAACTCTGCAGTATATCATAGAAAACTCATTTTGGATTATCAGATATATTCTGGTATCTGTTTAGCAGAAGAAAAGAGAATTAAAATTATAGAATTAAATCACTTTCATGAGGGAAATGAATGCCAGCATGTGGTCCATGTGTTGTCTACTTTTATAAATGCCATATGTTCTGCGCAGCTAAATCCATTGCAAGAAAAATCTTGGAACATATATGAAATTGCAGAACTACAAAGTTGTTTAATCAAAGCTTAAAGAGACCTTTCAAACAACCCTCATCACTGTTTAAATCAGTACACATGGAGAGGAGTTAACAATAACGCAAATACAAAATGATTTGCAAATTACTCAGAATTTATTTGGAAATTATTACTCTATTTTTTAAAGTTGAAGACGAAAATCTTTTCATGAGAAAATGCAATTACTTTTTAATTGAAAACAATATTTTCCAGAGAAGATTGAATTTTCTAGGATAAGCTGCAGCTTTAATTATGAAAAAAAACCCAAAACAGGAAAATGTATAATCTTTTCCAAAACGACTTTTTTCTTATACTCCTCCAAGCCTTGCATATAATGCAGCAGCCTCACAGTGGTCAGTCTCATTTCAATAAAGTCACTCCATTCTTTCTTTATTCCAGACATATCTGTAGATAAAGTGATTTTCTAGGAATGCTCTAACATCTGACTTTCCATGGTTCAGACTGTTTAATTTCTTTCAAAGTTTTTTTTTTTTTTTTTCTCTTTTTCCTTTGCTTGGGAAGCACTGTGCTGTCATAGTTTACATGTCTTTGTGTCTATAGGAAAACCTTTTCTTTATCGTATTACCAAAAAAAAAAAATAAAAATTAAAAAAAAGCCAAAACCAAAAACATAAAGACCTTAATCATCATAAGACTTCATTTTTTTTCCCCCTTAAACTTCTTTTCATGTTTCCAGCAGACTTACCCAATCTGTCATTCCTCCAGCAGCTATGAGATATCAGCCATGGCTGATTTCCTCTTCCCATTCCACAACTAATATTTATTCTTTGGTTTAATTTCTGTGACCCATACTTGAAGAAATTCCTAACATTTCTGCATTTGACTTCCATGCCCATGGTAACTGTGGGCCTAACTCTTAATTAACTATTCTGGTTCATTCAGCGCTGTCACTGTGACTGATGCAGACTGCAGGCAAACTTTGACCTTTAGAAGCCTGGGGCCGTTGTTGGCAGACAGAATATTAGTGCAAAAAAATTACATTAAGTGGGAAAAGAAAAGCTGTTATTGCTTAGTAATCTAATTTGCTGAACCCTTGCTCTGACTAAGTTGCTGAGAAGCTCAGTAATTCTTCATCATGTTACAATAAATCATTTTACTTTCTTTTATATATCAGCTACTCTTAGGCCAGATAGCCTGAGCAGACAGACATGATGTGAGTTGTCCAAAGTGAGTCATTCCACCTGCTGTCTATCGTGTTGTTGGATGGTGCTTGTGGGCCCTGGTCCCTGTAGTGTGAAAGATGGCTGTCCTTGTTTAACATAAATTCTTTGTATTTATCCATTTTTTTCATTCTTTTCTTTACTTCATCTCAAAAAAAAAAAAAAAAAGGAAAAAATGTTAGAAATGTTGTTAAAGTAGTTGCTTGCCAGTTATGTGGGTTTATGTTGTACATTTACCTTCAGTTATGTCTGTGATCTAATTCCTTTTTAATTTAGTGTCGTTTAGGACAAATTCTGTTAATTTTCTTTTTCTAAATCATGGTGGTGTACTTCAAAACATAGATGTTTCCAAATGAATTGCTTTGCATTACGTATGCAAGGGCATGGAGTGAACAGTTCCTTGTGGAAGAGTCACAGAATTGACACTAAATTAAGAAATTAAAATGCCACTATTCCCCACAGGAAATACACGTTACTATTTTTAAAATGCATCTTTCCTATAAGGTGTGCAACTGTTTACATTTGAGAATGTTCAATAACCTAACTTTTCTCAAGTCTTACTTCCAAGTACAACTTTGTCCTGAACTACATTAAAGAACTTTGTTAAAACAAAAAATTGAAGTGGTAAAAAGCGCATCAGGCAATAACCAGAGCTGTCCTTTTCTGTTTCAGGACATTCACTGAACAATGCCAGGGATACAAGTGCCATGGATACTCTACCGCTAAATGGTAATTTCAACAACAGCTACTCATTGCGCAATGGAGACTATAACGACAGTGTGCAAGTTGTAGACTGTGGACTAAGCCTGAATGATACTGCTTTTGAGAAAATGATCATTTCAGAATTAGTGCACAACAACCTGCGGGGCAGCAGCAAGAACCACAACCTGGAGCGCACGCTACCAGCCAAAGCTGTGATCGGCGGGAGCAGTAGCGAAGATGACGCCATCGTGGCAGATGCCTCATCTTTGATGCACAGTGACACCCCCGGGCTGGAGCTCCACCACAAAGAGCTTGAGGCCCCACTCATTCCTCAGCGGACTCACTCCCTTCTGTACCAGCCCCAGAAGAAAGTGAAGACCGAGGGAACCGACAGCTACGTCTCACAGCTGACAGCCGAGGCTGACGATCACCTCCAGTCCCCCAACAGAGACTCTCTTTACACAAGCATGCCCAATCTCAGAGACTCTCCGTATCCAGAGAGCAGCCCCGACGTTGAAGAAGATCTCTCTCCCTCCAGGAGGAGTGAAAATGAGGACATTTACTACAAGAGCATGCCAAACCTAGGAGCTGGCCATCAGCTTCAGATGTACTATCAAATCAGCAGGGGTAATAGCGACGGCTATATAATTCCCATTAACAAGGAAGGATGTATTCCGGAAGGGGATGTTAGAGAAGGACAAATGCAACTAGTGACAAGCCTTTAATAGTGTAGCAAAGAAATATTAAAGGCCACGTACAAGTATTAAAAAGACTTAATTGGCCCCATGCAGGCTCCCTCATATCTGCTTGAAGAGACAATTCTGTTGACCCTGTGGTTCTCCAGTAACGGGGATGACTGGACCTCGCAGTTCTGTGAATTTTTATAAAACAAAAACTTTGTATATACACAGAGTATACTAAAATGAATTATTTGTTACAAAGAAAAGAAATACCAACAAGGTATTTTAAGATATCTTCTGCTGCTGAATTTAACAAAATTGTGAAAAACAGAGAAATAAACACTTCCCAGCCATTTTACTGCAGCAGTTTGTGAACTAAATTTGTAAATATGGCTGCACCATTTTTTTTTTCTAGGCCTACATTGTATTATATACAAGGCGTAGGCTCTAAAATCCTGTGGGACAAATTTACTGTACCTTACTATTCCTGACAAGACTTGCAAAAGCAGGAGAGATATTCTGCATCAGTTTGCAGTTCACTGCAAATCTTTTCCATTAGGGCAAAGATTGAATACATGTCTAACCACTAGCAATCAAGCCACAGGCCTTATTTCATATATTTCCTCAACTGTACAATGAACCGTTCTCATGAAAAAATGGCTAAAGAAATTATATTTTGTTCTATTGCTAGGGTAAAATAAATACATTTGTGTCCAACTGAAATATAATTGTCATTAAAAAATAATTTTAAAGAGTTTGAAGAAAATATTGTGAAAAGCTCTTGGTTGCACATATGTTATAAGCTGTTTTTCTTACACTCTGTTCATAGTACAGTAGTATGTTTAAAATGCAAGTTCTACCCGTTTTCACTTATTTTTCACTGTAAACAGTGTTCTGCTTTGACAAGTTAGTTTTTATTCTTACGTTTTGAATTTTTATTGCCAAAAAAACATAATTTGGGGAGAAAATTGTTTTAGAAGCCAATTATGCCAAGCCTTGCACAAATTTGGTATAGCTAACAAAGATTGTAACTCGATTCCCTGTTCATTCTTTAATCAGGGTTGGGTGGTAAGGGGTAAAGGGGACACTGGACACTTCTCACAAGCTTTCTCGTGAATAAAAGGTGCCTGTCCTTTAAAAAAAATAAATAAAACATAACTATTACTCTTCCATATTCCTTCTGCCTATATTTAGTAATTAATTTATTTTATGATAAAAATCTAATGAAATGTAAATTGTTTCAACGAAATTCTGCTTTTTTCGTCCCTTTGTGTAAACCTGTTAATAATGAGCCCATCACTAATATCCAGTGTAAAGTTTAACACCTGTTTGACAGTAAATAAATGTGAATTTTTTCCAAATAGGTAAAATGTGCATTATTATGTACGAAGCATAATTGGCATCAGCAGTCCTTCGACCCAGCTGTATCCTGCTTAGAATGGCTTCTTTACATTTCATGAGTGAAGTGTCGAGAATACAGTAGAGACCGTCTATATAGCTCCACAGAAAAAGGTCATCCTTACTATTCATTACTCTAGTCACAGTTGAACAGGGTCAAACTCAGACACAGCAGGGTCATTAGGAAAATGTACTGTAATTTAACATATTTACATAACTTTTAAGTAGGCATCTGTACTGAAATTAAAAATAAGGTGGTAAACTCCACTATAATATTCTCGGCCACAGCAATTAGCAGTCAATTAGTAGTGATGAAGATATATTGTTGCAGTGGGGAAAACATGAATAAGCAGCATTTGGATCGCACTCTGAGTGCTATCCAAATAATTAATCCGTCACGGTGCTGTTCTGAGTTAGATAAATAAGTATGGCTGTCCCCATGTTTACCAAACTAGAGAACTGCAGAAGGCAGCTGATGCCCAAGATGTTATCTACAAATCAGCAGCAAAATTGGAAGTCTGAAGTCTTTGTTGTCTTGATTCCCAAGCCTCTTCTGTCCCTCTCAACCAGGGCCTCTCAAAGATAACGCCAAGGACTTCATTTGTCACAACTTCCAAAATTGTGTTCTTCCAAATAACTCTATAAAAGTTAATGCGCCCTCATCACAGAGGTCGCAGGTTCATGTGTGGCCACTGTGACTATATGTCTGAGAACAGCAAAATGTAAGCCGAAAGCCATATCGATTCTGTCACCTTCTAATGCATTGGAAGATATAAAGTCCATTTGGAAAAGAAATCAATGCATTTGGAAAAAAAAACTGAAAAAGTTTGAATTTCAGAAGAATGTTTTGGGTGAGACTTCCTGCTGTTGAGACAATTCAAACTCTGTAAAAAAAAAAAAAAAATCCAGGTTGAGATGGAACTGTGGGGTTTGGGTAACCTCAATGTATCTGTAAGCAGGGCTGTGACACCGTAGCAGTTGTTCTTGAAGAAAAAGGCATCTTCACCATCAACCCTTCTGGTAACTCTAGCCAGTGTGTTCCTTAATACTTAAAAGTTATGATGTTTACGGTAGAGTCACTGGAACATTTAAAATTTAATCAGAAACTGTTTACTTCTGTTTAGTAGAGATGCTTTAAAAACCTGAAGTCTCTATGAAATAAGGATTTGTTCTGATTCAGGGTATACGGCAGACTCTTGGGAGCAAAAATGATTCCCTTGGTCTGTCTGGCAACTGAAGAGCACACTTGCTGCCTTCTACCTAGGAAACCATGTCTTAGGGATTTAAAAATCGTGGTGCTCAAGTAATTACAGTACACATGACCTAATAACATCACCAACTTTCAGCAGAATCTTCAACCCTAGTTCGAGCAAGTACGCCTTTGTGTCTAACTAAAGGTGGCAAAACTCCATGCTGGAAAAAGGTTTGTAGCATTGTGATCTTAAATATATATTCAATTGCAAATGTAACGAGTCTTCATAAAACAAGCAAATGTAGCTGATGAACCTAAGATGAACCAGCTGAACCTAAGTATCATAAGGGAATTCTTTTGTTAGCTTCTTTGTAATGTAGATGTTGCTTTTTAGTGAGCCTGGGTTTTTTAATGTTACGCTAGTGAGTGTCCTGTGTTTAGCTAGCAGCTAGCAGCCGATACCTTGCCAAATTTCTGTTGGTGTAACTTCTCAGTGTAGTAGGTTACAATATAATTAAATAGCCGACAGCTTATTGTAATTTCTTTATGTTCTCTCTCACGTTCCTGCCATCTTGTCTTGGGATCAGAAGGACAGAAGAATTCAGAGGAAGAGTTCGAGAATAGCGAAATAATGACAGCAGAATTAATGGAAACAAGTGTTTCTTCAGGGTCACCAGTTAACCAGTTCCTATGATGGTGCCAAGGATCTGCCGCTATTTTAGGCACTGTCTTTCCGAAGAGCTGCAATTTTCTTACGGCTAGTAATCTCCTGTTAGTATCAGCAGTAACCCTACTGGCTCAGTTCAATTCTTCCTTGTAACTTCAGTCCAGTTATATTAATTCCTACAAAAGATTAAATGGGATGTGCATTTAGTGAACTGTTGTATAATGGTGCTATGCATTGTTTAATATAAAATACATCTCAATTCTACATAAGTGAACCATAACATGAAGAAATGCAACACTGGTAATACCTTTATAGTTAAAATTAACCTTTATCTGTGAATTCTACAATACACCTTTGCTTCTTTCAAATTGGAAATGAAACTACTAATAAAGTTTACATATATTCACTTATGTAGGCAATAAAAGGTGTTTCAAATTGACCTAAGTTATGGATAAAATATGTGTCATATTTTATGTCCTAATTTTTAAGGAAATTTTTTTTCTGAACTACTCAGACATTAACAGAACAACAACAACAAAAGGTAAACAGCCCCTGTGTACTGTTGTTATCCCAGCTTGCCTCAAAACTAACAAAACTTGTCTTCTAGACTTGATTATGCGACTACGTATGCTAGTGTAAAGTTTTATCCCTGAATAAAATTTATTATTTTAAAAAAAAATATCAAGAGAAGCTACAGGTAGAGAATGAATATATATATATATATACATGAACATCTTCCCTGGGGTTTTAACTCACTGATTTTAGGGAACAATGGAGAATGAAAAGCGATGGGACGCAGCAATAATTCTTCGGTTCCACCTCAGCTGTAGCCCTGCAAAGACACTTAGGCCAGGGAGGTCGTGGCAAATTTTTTTAAAAATAGATGGTGACAGTCACCCTCCACATTTATGAAGAGCGTTGCTACCATTTCAGTAAGCAAGGGTCTTGCTGGATGGCTGCACTATGAGATAAGAACCCCAGACTATGGATGCTGCTGGCATGCTGCATCTCTACTCCACAACTACACCACAGCTTGGAATCCAGCTTTTCATTGAGTTGGGGGATAAAAATTGGCACCACCATAGCCCTGGAAGCAAGAAATCTGTGCCTCTCATTTATATAAACACTTTTTAAATTAGTAGGAATTTAATTAATGGATCCAGCTCCATCATCCAGCTCTGACAAAAATCTGGAGCAAAGGTTCATTAGGACCCTGCTATTTCAAGAGAGGGTTTTGGGGGGGAGGGGGGTGGGTGTTAGTAAAATCCTTCTTGTGGTTTTTAGAACTACAACTTCCAAATCCTTTTATTCATGCAGGATAAATTCTCAATGGTATTTCATTAATTCATGCCTAAGAGCATTACTATCTCTTCTTACTGTATTATGTCATCATTAATCTCAACCGCTCCCCATCAAAGTTCCTGGCATGTGAAACGGATCACACCACGGTGCAGACTGAGGGGTTATAAACGCTACTGAAAAATCATACAAGCCTCAACTCAGCAGCAAGGAGATTTGAAAGGACCGTTCCATCAAGTGCAGCAGCTGCTGAAGTGGTCAGGCCAGGATCCCAGATGGGGGAAGTCAGAGTTGCAGAAATAACGTTCAGAATAGGTAGTTGATATCAAGACAATTCTTTTACAGCAAAGTTTATGTAATTCTTAAGCATTTCTTCCTTGGGTGCACATCTCCTCCTGGATGTTGGAGTAGGAGCCCTGGCACAATGTAGACTCCGTGCTGCTGTCATCGTTTAACCCAGCTGGCAACTGTGCCCAACCCAACCACTCATGCACTCCTCCTCCGTGGGATGGGGGAGAGAATCAGAAGGCTAAAAGTGAGGAAACTCGTGGGTCAAGATAAAGGCAGTTTAATAGGGAAAGCGGAAGCTGCACACGCAAGGAAAGCCAAGCCAGGAATTCATTCCCTGCTTCCCACCGGCAGGCAGGTGCTCAGCCATCCCCAGGAAAGCAGGGCTCCATCAGGCGTAACGGTGACTTGGGAAGACAAATGCCATTGCTCCCAACGTCCACCCCCCTCCCTTCTTCTCCCCCCAGCTTTATACACTGAGCATGACGTCATACGGTGTGGGATATCTCTGTCCCAGCCATGCCCCTTTCCAGCTCCTTGTGCCCCCCCAGCCCCTTGCTGGTGGGGTGGGGTGAGAGGCAGAAATGGCCTTGGCTCTGTGTGGGCTCTGCTCAGCGGGAATGACTATCCAGTACATCCTCATTAACCACCACCCTGCTTCCGGTCCTTTGATAGAATACACAGATATTGTTCCCTTGGTCTGTGGACCACCCCAGTGAAATGTCTGTAAAATGTCCACAAATGTCCACTGCGTTCACTTAGTCCATGACTTTGGGCTCCATCTGTTACGGTGGTC